CGGTTAAAACTTTGAAAAAGATTGCGAGGCACAGAAATAGACGCACAGAAGGATATTTCCTTTTCATAAAATGTACACGTATTTATTCCGTGGGTGCAAATACACGCAGGCTGCAGGATTAAATATCGGTTGTCCCATTTCTGGACCGGTTCCACACGATCAAAAAAAGCGAAGCGAGTGTAAGCGGATTGAAACAAGTTGCGCGTTAATTTTCGATTTTGCCCATGCTTCGACTTCTTTAAAAGGTGTAACGACTTGGTGGCATATTTCGAAATGTCGCGCCGCGCCGAATCGATTGAGAAAATAACGTACCTGCGACAAACTCGCCTATCGTTCGTCGCGTTGAATTATAACGCTCGCTAATGATTCGATATGTATCTTGGATGTATGTCTTATATCGAGAGTTATCGACGAGAGTCTCTCCAACGTGTACAAGAGCCTATTAGGAGCCTATTAGGAGACTATTAGCAAAATTAGACCGTTATATGTTTTACGTTGCAACTTTTGCTCGTATTATATATCTAAACATTATCGTTACGTCTTACGACCTATTTGTAATCCTATTTGTAATTCACCGCGTTAACGATCAAAATCGACATTCGATTGGACAATCAATCGAATGTCTTTTTAACTTTGACTTGGCGAAAAACGCGCGCGTACAATATGAAGTACTGATCGTGAAGCACAAGAAACACCCGCGCGGAACTTGTTTCACCTTAGATTCCCGTAATGGGGTTACGAGAATCTCGTGTTGACCTACGTGCCCGTTTCTCGCCTGATATACAAGGAGAACTGGCATGCACTTGAACCGAGAGTCAGAGATGCGCTCGATCCCGCGCGTATGTACCATGTGTGTAACACGTGAGATATATAATATATATGTATATACAAGGTGTTAGTTAAGTATATTGCTATACTCAATAGAGCAATTCTTTGGTTTATTTCAAGTAAAAAAGTCCATATAAACATGTATCCTAAACGGCTTAGTTTCCGAAATAAAAAAATTTAAACATGTAGTAATAATCTGTTTATTTGAAAGCAATACAGCTTGAACTAGTCAAAAACTAGTCAAAAACAAAAAAAGTATTATGAAGCAACTATTCGATTCCTCAAATTATTCTCATTCTCGATCGGGATGGTATAAACCAATGATTTCAGATGCCCTCGAAGAAAATAATTCAAAGGATTTAAGTCTGGTGATCTAGGAGGCTTTGATTTTGACTTTGTCCCTTTGTTTACGGTTGTGCGAAATTTGCCGTTTCATCAAACATTTGCGAACATTTATCTGTATTTCGGAAACTAAGCCGTTTAGGTCACACGTTTATATGGACTTTTTTACTTAAAATAAAAAGAATCGCTCTCTCTCTCTCTCTCTCTCTCTCTCTCTCTGTTGAGTATGGCAACATACTTAACTAACACCCTCTGTGTGGGTGTGTGTGTGTGTGTGTGTGTGTCACATTCTCATCTTTTGCACACATTTTACTTGCGATAATCAAATTTTTTTTCATTTGCCAATTATCTTATTGTATTAGTAAGAAGATTAGTACGAGATTGGGCACCTTTAGTATGGCTTGCGCCTGGAGAACGATTTTTACCGCTCGGTGTAACCGAATTCCTCGATAACGTACAATCGGATCAGTATTACCTTCGCACTAGAATAGACATAGGTAATTGTTCAAAATAGCTATGACAAATGATACAAATACATTAATTCTTACATCATTTGTAGGATATGAAATGTGATTCAATTAATTCATATATAGTATATATACTATAAACAGAGTCAGATA